TATTATTATTATTATTATTATTATTATTATTATTATTATTATTATTATTATTACTATATGATGATGATGATGATGATGATGATAATAATAATAATAATAATAATAATAATAATAATAATGATGATGTTGGAAGGGACCTTGGAGGTCATCTAGTCCAACCCCCTGCTGACGGTCGCAGCTTTCTGGGGGGGTCGCTGAGATGCCCCCTTTGGCGACCGTCTGACCAGCAAAGTCAAAGGGGGAAGCTGGATTCGCTTAACGGCCCTGTTCCTAATTTAACCAGGGCGGTGATTCGTTTAACAACGGTGGCAACGGAAGGTCGTAAAACGGGGCAAAACTGACGTAGCCAATTTCTCACTTAGAAACAGTTGTGATTGTAAGTCAAGGACTTCCTATAGGGCAGGGGTGTCCAACCCTGGCCCCTTTAAGACTTGTGGACTTCAACTCCCAAAGCTGGCTGGGGGATTCTGGGAGTTGAAGTCCACAAGTCTTAAAGGGGCCAGGGTTGGATATTTGTGCCCTAGAATATCTGCAGATGTGTTTGCCTTGCAGGGAGTGGACCACCACACCCCCCCACCAGCCTGGTCATTTAGAGGGTTACAAGTCCAGCGTGGTACCCCGATGGGGAAACTGGCCTAAACTGGGCCCCCTCCCCACAGCCTGCCCCCAGTCTAGATCTGGCAGCTGCCCCCTGTCGGCTGTCCCTGGCAAGGCTGGGCTTTTATTGCCAGATGCCAGCCGGGGCTCAAGGGTGGGAGTAGCTGAAAGGAGACCCCCCCCCAACCATGCGCCATGGAGGGAAGCTGCTGGGAAGAAAGATATGGTTAAGATACGGTGAGAATCCAGAAATTGGGGGGCAGAGGGCGTGCTAGGTAGCTTTGCAAGTCCCTTAAGTCAGGGGTCCCCCACCCCCCCCCCCCCCGGTCCCTGGCATGCCAGCAACCTGTTCACACAAACAAGCAAAGCCCCATCCGTGGGATGCAGGCAGCACACAAAAACAACACACCCTCCGGTCCGTGGAAAAACCTCTCTCCACGGAAGCGGTCCCTGGTGCCCAAAAGGTTGGGGGCCACTGCCTTAAGTGTGCAAAAGTGCAGGGGCGTTAAGTGTGAAAAAGAAATTTGGGTTACTAGGCTGAAGACATTTGGAAACCATTAGAAAAATAAGAATATTTTATTGTATTATTAATTCGTCGATATAGATGGTGAGAATTGAAATGGATGAGACGTGTACCAGATTTTGTGAGGAATTGTGATAAAGGGAATGGGGAACCTTTAAAACTTGGAAACGATAAGTATTAAAACATTAATTTTAAATCATCATGCAAAATTAAAACGGGGGGAAAAATTTACCAGGACATTGATGGTCTCAAAGATCGAGGAAAGGTATATACAGACTGGAAACTATTGATAAACGTAAGACAGTTATTTTTTATTTGATGGATAGAATCAGAAGTGTATTAATATAAATACGAGACAGTCCATATTAAGGGAAAAAAGAGGATATACTTAATTGTAATAGTGTGGGATTCGTACTAACGATATTTGTATGTAGTTGAATGATGGTAACTCAGTCAACCGCGTCGTTTTTCAAAGATATAAATGTAATATTGGAAAATCAATAAAACTGTCCAAAAATAAAAAGTGTGCAAGTTGAAGGGTGTCTCTCTATCTCTCCTCCCCCCCCTCTGGACGAGCAGCTGGTTGGCTCGGACACGTGCCTGGACCGGATTGACGCCATGGTCCAAGATGCTAAAAGGAAGGCGGGGGGCGATCCACACACTCCGCTTCGTTCGCTGGTGAGTCTCCCGCCCTCTTCCCAGGAAAGCCCCCCCAACCCCCCCCCCCAGGTTGTCCCTTTGCAGCCAGTCACGGCCTTTAGGAAAATGCCCAGGGCAGGTGGTGGCAAAGAAGACAGGCACCTTGGTGTCACCATGCATGGGACATGCTGTGGCGGTGTTTTGGGGGATGATGCCACCTGCCAGTCAATATTTTGGCCTCATCCTGCTTTGCTGGGGATGCTGCTAGCCCAGGGTAACAGAATCACAGAGCTGGAAGGGACCTTGAAGGTCTTCTAGTCCAGCCCCCTGCTCAAGCAGGAGAACCTATACCCATGGTGGCAAACCTATGGCATGCGTGCCACAGTTGGCACGCAGAGCCCTCTCTTTGGGCACGTGTGCCGTCGCCCCAGGCCTTCAGTTGGGTTTTATAAAACTTTTTCGCTTTAGGCCTCCGCCGCCATGTGCAAAAAAAAAAAAAAAAGGTTCAATCAATCAGTCAATTTCAACTTCACGTGGGAAAAAAAAGATCTCGCAAAGTTGGAACTGATTGATTGAACTTTTTAGTCCCACCCAGTCTGCCGTTACCACCGCAGCCACGCCCACCCCATGGGCCACACCCACCCAATGGGCCACGTCCACCCAATGGGCCACACCCACCCGGCACCCGACGATACATAAGTGGGTTTTTGGTTGCAGTTTGGGCACTCGGTCTCTAAAAGGTTTGCCATCACTGCCCTAGACCATCTCAGACAGGTGATTGTCCCGTCTCTTCTTGAAAACCTCCAGTGATGAAGCGCCCACCACTTCTAGTGGCAAGCTGTTTCACTGGTTAATCGTCCTCAGTGTTAGGGAGTTTCTTCTTAGTTCCAGGTGGCTTCTCTCCTTGATCAGTTTCCATCTGTTGCTTCTTATCCAGGTGGTTTGGAGACTAGGTGGACCCCCCCTCTTCTTTGGGGCAGCCCCTCAAATATGGGAAGGCTGCTATCATGTCACCCCCCCCCGGGTCCTTCTTGTCCCTAGACTGGCCCTACCCAATCCCTGCCAGCGTTCTTTGTGTGCTTGGCCTTCTCTTGGGTGATGGAAGGAGTTGAACACCTTTGCTAGGGAGGAGCTCAACTCCACCGGTGGTCCTCAGGTGAAAGGTGAAAGGACCTTGGAGGAACTGCGTCCTTCCTGAGCCTCCAGCCCCAGGAGTGTATTAGAACAGGGCTTTTCAACCAGTGGTACTGGTACCACCTGTGGTACATGGGCACCTGGTAGGTGGTACGCGACCATCCTAGAAAAGTGGTAGCAGGGGAGGGGAATGGGCTGAACCGGTGGCAGCACCGCACAAGCCTGAGCGAGAGATGGCTGGAGCTGCAGGGCTGTCGGGGCTCAGCGGAAGTGCCAGGATCAGTGCCGCTTTCCAGCTGATCGGCGCTTCTTCGGGGCTGTCAGGGCTCAGCGGAAGCGCCAGGATCAGTGCCAGGCTCCAGCTGGAGCTCAGCGCTGATCCTGGAGCTTCCGCTGAGCCCAGAAGAAGCCCCGATCAGCTGGAATGTTGCAGCATCTCCAGGGTCTTGTGATTTACATTCAGATGCTTGGCAACTGATTCATACTTATGACGGTCACAGTGTCCCAGGGTCATGTGAAGTGACCAAAACCTGCTGCAACCACCCAGCAGACGGGGGGAATAAAACCCAAACACCCCCCACCCCACTCCCACTGCCAATCCTCAACAGAAATGCTCACAACAATGAAAACCTCGGACAGGAGGAAGTTTTTGACACCTTGCTAGGCGACTGGTGGTACTCAGATATTGCCATAACCTAAAAGTGGTACAATGGGTGAAAAGGTTGAAAAGCCCTGGATTAGAAAAGGTTTAGGAGAGCTTGTCCAGCCAGAGGTTCCAGGGGTGGGAGCCCAGCTCTAGACACCCATGTAGGTCGTCCGTGAGCCCTGAAGATCTCCAGGACACGGAAGGTCAGTGGATGTCCTCTTGCTACCTTCTGCCATGATTTTCCCCCTGGTGCTTGTATATTTGGGGGCTGTCTCATGCAGAAACTTTTTTTTTGGGGGGGGGGGAGTTCTGTCGAATTGTGGCTGGGGGCTCACAGTGTGGCTGCCTGTGACTGCAGGGTCTCTCCCTGAGTGGAGGGGAGCAGAAGGAAGCCATCAAGAAGCTCGTTGAGGACATGAAGACCCGGTTCCCACATCTGAGCGAGAATTACTTTATCACGACCGACGCCGTTGGGGCCATCGCCACTGCGACCGACAGCGGTACGGCTTGCTTGCTTGCTTGCTTGCTTCCTTCCTTCCCTCCCTTCTTTCCTTCCTTCCTTCCCTCTCTCCCTCCCTCCTTCCTTCCTCCCTCCCTTCTTCCTTTTG